GGCATTTGCATGATCTGAACCTGTCTCCCTTCGGGGAACTTAATACATACAAGTGGGTGATAGCAAGTACACCGAGACACTGAGCTAGACAAGACTTACCTGCTGAGAAAAAATGAAGATGGCCCCTGAGTGGGCCAGTGGCACGTGCCTCTAGGGGTGGCTTTCTGAGAACAGCACCATTTCCACGGTGTTCTGGCCGGAATGTTAAACATGACTTCAATCATGAGGAAACCTCAGACCAACCCAAACCGAGGCACATTCTGTGAGATAACCTGCCGTGTTTTACAGAAAGGTCAACGGCATGAAAAACAACGGGAGGCTAAGCAAGGACTGCTTCCAGATTAAAGGAGGCTAAGGAGCCACAACAATTAAATGCAAAACCAGATTCTGGACCCGCTCCCGTAATGGCGGGAAAATGCGGGAAAGGCATTGCGGGGACAGCTGACAAAAGTGGAACAGAACTGTGCAGCGGGGAACAGTGCTGTCAGTGTTCAAACCACCGAACTGGGTGAGGAGAGTGTGGTTACATAAAGGAACAGGTTGTTTTCAGAAAACACAGAGTGAGATGTTAGAGGATAAATTGTATTATATATGAAACTACTCTGCAATCAGAAAGAATGAGAAAAGAGAGAGGAGAGAATGAATGAATGAATGTGGTCAATGTTGACAACCGCGAATCTTGTTAAAGGTATTCTGGAGCTCTAGGTATTAATCTTGTAAATGTTAGATACATATATTATTTTTTTCAAAATAAAAACATTAAAAATAAAAAATAAAAAGGTTAAGGTTATCGGTTTGTTCAGGGACACGCAGTAAATGTCAGAGGGGCGCACCCATGTGCTCTGATTGCTGGGACTGCCCTGCCCGTGGCACTGGGCTTCCACAGTGCCCACTGCCTCGAGGCTGGGGGAGACCTTTCTGCCATGAAGTGGGGCTCGCCGGCGCGGAAGCAAGATGATGAAAGCGCAGCGGTGCTCAGGCCGGCAGCCTGGACGTCGCTGGGGAGGGTCACGGGCTCTCCCCGGGGCAGGGGCTTCGGAGACTTCCAGTTTCCAAGACAAAATCAAGTCGTCACAGAACGCGGAGCGCAGTCCTTAGAAACGTGTCGGCCAAGCTAATCTGCGGTGGGAGAAGCCAGCACAGCACCGGCTTCAGGTGGGAGCGGGCTCAGGGGAACCTGGTGGCTGAGCTGTCCGTTAAGATTGGTACACTTGCTGCATGTCAGTTATATCTCAAGAAAAATGTGTAATGAAAATAGTCTTCTTCAAAATAGAAAGTATTTGCTGTGCCAAAGCTCCTGCTGAGAGGCTGAAGGGACAAGGTAGTGGGTGGAAGAACGTACCACCCATCCGACACAGGACGTGTATCAGAACCTAGAAAGAACTTCCAGAACTCAACAGCAAGAAAACAGACACCTCCACTTACAAATAGGCCAACGACTTGAATAGCCGCCTCACCAAAGAGGATATAGGCAGGCAAATGGGCACACAAAAGCTGCTCAGCCTTTGGCCATCAGGGACACGCACGTTGAAACCAGGATAGGATAAAGTGCCGCTACAGCAAACAGCTCTGAGGCCCTGCGGGTGGGCGGCCATGCGGGCACGGGCAGACCACACGTCACTGCTGGGCGCAGGCATGCGCTGGAACATGGTTTAGCAACTTCTTATCAAATCAGCACACCTACCATATACCCCAACAATCCGCCTGAGCGGAGCAAAATGTGTTCATACAAAAATCTGTACACTAAATGTTATAGCTTCAATCGTCACTTCTCAAAACTGGGTCGGAAAGGGTGACTCAGTTTCCATCCCATGGAATACTACCCAGGACAAAAAAAAACACAAATTGTCGGTGCATGTCACAATTTGGATGAGCCTCAAAGGCATTTAGCTGAGTGGAAAAATCTGGTCTCAAAAGATTACAGGCTGAACTGTTTACGTGAAGAATCAAACTGCGATGATGGAGACTGAATCAGAACACCTCGGCCGTGGGCGGGCGGCGGAGGCGGAGGGTCAGGAGGGCGGCGGGCAGTGGGAGGGCTCTGTCCTGATGTGGGGGGTCACTGAGTGTCACAGTGCCAGCTGTGACGTAGAACTCACTGAAAAGCCAAGGTCACTCTGTTAGGTTTTTTAAATCCTTACCCAAGGATATTTTTTCCATTGATTTTCAGAGAGAGTAGAAAGGAGGGGGAGGGAGAGAGAGAAACAGCAATGTGAGAGAGACACATCGACTGCTTGCCTCCCTCAGGGCCCCGACCGGCCAGGGACCAAACCTGCAACCCAGGTACATGTGTTTGACAGGAATCAAACCGGGACCCTTTGGTGTGCAGGTCGATGCTCTAACCACTCAGCCATGCAAGCCAGGGCCATGTTAATTTTTAAAATGACGTTTTTAACTAAGAAAAGTCTTCTTACATTAAAATGAAACCTCTGGCTCCTCAAATGGCAGGGAGGAGACCCTCAGAGGAGGTGCTCTGGGAGGAGGTGCCCTGGAGAGGGCCGGCGCCTTCCTGCACCCTGACCTGCCGCCTGGGTCCCCTCGCTCTCCTGCTGGGACGGTGCGACCCACACGTCGGCTCCCTTAGACCCCAGGTCGGCCGAGGAGCCCAGTGGCTCTCTTCCTCCCATGCCCTTGGGCCTGGGACTCAGGACAAGGCGGGTGGTCCCTGATGAGTGAAGACGGGCGCTGGCCCCGCCCGGGGGCCTTGGCACCCCTCCCAGCCTGGCCTCCGCTCGCCTCGGCTCTCAGCCCAGCGCATGCGCCACAGCTGGACGGCGCCACGGCGCTCGCAGCCCAGCTGCGCCCCGGCTCGCCCTCTGGAAGGATCTCCAGCTGCCCTCTATAGACTGAAGTGGAAGAGGCCATCAGCCTGATGAGTTTGCTGTTGCTGTCATTTTCATTTTGAAGTCCATTTTTATTATAAAATAGCATCTGCTCATTGGTGTTGGGGTTTTTAGTTCTACCCCCCAGAAGCCACCGTTGTTACTAGCTCCTTCTCTGGCTACCTAGAAACATTGGTGTGGCCGGGCTGGGTGGCTCAGTGGTTGAGCGTCAACCTATGAACCAGTAGGTCAGGGTTCAGTTCCCAGTCAGGGCACATGCCTCGGTTTGGGGCTCAATCCCCAGTAGGGGGCATGCAGGAGGCAGCCGATCCATGATTCTCTCTCACCAATGATGTTTCTATTTCTCTCTCCCTCGCCCTTCCTCTCTGAAATCAATAAAAATAAAAAAGAAACATTGTTGTGTGCAAGCACAAATGTCCGTCTACGTAACGGGTACGAACGAATGGGTCCCTGGTGTCCGGCGTCCCTGTGGGCTCACACGCATATCAAATCTTGCTTCAGCCCTGACTGGTTCGTGCCTGACGTTTTCCGACCGTCCTCTTGGGTCACAGAAGGAAACAGGAGAGCCTGCTCCTCGGACCACGGTGTCGGCACTGCCCGCTCCTCGCCCAGGCCAGGGGGTCCATTTCAAGTCAGGCCGCGCAGCTGACGGGGCCAGGCATCTGATGAGCCGGGAGAGAGGGAAAAACGCCTTGAAAATAATTTGGCATTTAAGGAGGAGGAGGAGACGGAGAGAGAACATCAAAGTAGTTATGCACTTAGGAAAATCACAGGTCTACACGCACCCGTGAGGCTGGCTTTGTTTCACATTTTTGCTGCTTCTCTGCAGCCTTGCCTGGGCCTGAGGTCACCTGGCTCCGGAAGCAATGCCCTGCGAAGAGCAGGTTCTACGGCCTCGCAGCCAGTCCCGCCACAGGGGCCACTCTGGGGGGGCCAGACCTCCACACCCTGGAGAAACTGCACCCCCTCTTTTCCTCAGTCCCCAGAGGCCCAAGAGTCAACCAAGGGCTCCGCTGCTGCCCTCACACCCTCCCCTCTCAAACCAGACGCCCAGGTCTCAAAGCCCAGGCTTGCCTAGGTTGGGCTTCTTCAGGACCTCCCCCACCCCCACCCCCACCCCCACCCCCGCCCCCACCGGTCCGCCCTTCCCCCTGAAACTGCACAAGCCGACTGGACTCCTCGAGGCCAGCACCCGGGAGTGTGCCTCCGTGGCTTTCTAAGGCTCACTGGGTCGCAGTTACACTAGATCAGCCATGGGCAAACTACGGCCCGCGGGTGAAATGAATAAAACTAAAAAAAAAAAGACCGTACCCTTTTATGTAATGATGTTTACTTTGAATTTATATTAGTTCACACAAACACTCCATCCATGCTTTTGTTCTGGCCTCGGGTCCAGTTTAAGACCCCACTGTGGCCCTCGAGTCAGAAAGTGTGCCCACCCCTGGGCTAGATGCACAATAAAATGACCTGCTACGTCACATGTCCTTCTAGCACAGCCTGCGGGCAAGTGCTCCTGGGGAGATGTTTCTCAGCCAGAGCCCAGGGTGTGCAGAGTGGACCAGACAGATTCCTTCTGAGAAATGTCAGTCCTTTTAGACAGCGAAACGCACGTCCTCTCTAAGGAACGACCTGGGGATAACCCAGGCCAAGGCCAGCTGCAGGAGAAGCTGTCGGCTACGGAACCGCTTCCTGGCGCGGCACGGCTGGCCGGAGGGCACTGCGGGCTCTGCCGGCTCTGGGACCAGGAAGCTTGCTGGAGGGAGGGGAGCGCAGGCCTCCAGGAACTGCAGCTGGAGGACCCGACCCAGCACAGGGAGGGGAAGGCCCGCCCTGGATCCCACATTTAAACTGGGACTTGAAAGTGCAAACCAACCGTGTCAAACTCTAAGGCTAACGCGGACCAATTAACAAGGTTTAAGTGTATGTGGCAGCAAAAAAACAAAAGCTTCACTTTTAATAGACATGGAGGTTTATTTCGATCGAGACATGTGAATACAAAGGGCTGAAATAACCCTGACCGGTTTGGCTCAGTGGATAGAGCGTTGGCCTGCAGACTGAAGGTGAAGGGTCCCGGGTTCGATTCCGGTCAAGGGCACATACCTTGGTTGCAGGCGCAACCCCAGGAGGGGGTGTGTGTAGGAGGCAGCTGATCCATGTTTCTAACTCTCTATCCCTCTCCCTTCCTCTCTGTAAAAAAATCAATAAAATATATTTTTAAAAAAACAAAGGGCTGAAATAAATGAGTCATCATTAAGATAAAATAATAGAACATTTTAATAAAAATTAATTTTTTCTTGAACATTAACTTACCAGACACAAATTAATAAGCGTAACACAAGTAAATCTATTTTTCTTCTTCTCCGAAAGCAAAGTATTTCCTGTTGCACACACCAAACAAGACTAATGACATGGCGATCGGCTGCTAAATACTCGCTGCTGGCATCAGTGGGGAGAAATGGTCGCCTGCGTGTAAGGCGCGTAGGGAAATAAATGCAACATGATTATCGTCATGAGTCATTAGCAAACGTGTAGTTCGTTATTAATAACTAGAGGCCCAGTGCACGACATTCATGCACTGGGTGTGTGTGGGGGGGGGGGGGTGTCCCTCAGCCCTGCATGCGCTCTCTCCCAGTCCTGGATCCCTCGGGGGATATCCTTAGTGCTGCTACCAAGCCCAGCTTCTGGCTGGGAGTGCACTGACCACCAGGGGGCAGTTCCCACGTTGAGCGTCTGCCCTCTGGTCATCAGCGCCTGTGATAGCGACCGGTTGTTCTGCTGTTCAGTCCATTTGCATGTTAGCCTTTTATTATATAGTATTATGTATAACAGGATATTGTAAAAATTAAGTTCCAAAATTGTTATTAAAATGTTTCTTACATGCCGTTATATTGGCTGGGCCCCAAAAATATTCATTGCAGGCCTCATGTGGCCCGCAGGCTGCGAGTTTGACATGCTTGGTGCCACCCAAAGTACAAGCCTGGTGCTGGCAGAGGAGGGGAGCCGCCCAGCACTGAGGGCTCCCTGAGCAGACACACAGGAGGCGGGGCAGGAGGAGGGGAGCCGCGCCCCTCTGAGCTGTGCCCTGTTCCTGGGACTGGTTCTCCTCAGGTCTCTGTTCTCAAAAGAGCAAGTGGTTCAAATGAGGCCAAGACAGGTTCTGTGGTTCTTAGAGGCCTCGGAGCCAAAGAAAGCAAAACCCTATTTGCTTGCTCCAAAGCCAGACGGTTTTTCCTGACAAAGAGTAACCAGGAGCGGGGCAGGCAGAGGTGACCAGGTCAGGGTCCCCAGAGATCTGGACATTTCAGGGAGAGGAGGAACCCTGCAGAGGCAGGGAGGCAGGGAGGGAAGGAGGCAGGGAGGCAGGGAGGCCGGGAGGCAGGGAGGCAGGGAGGGAGGGAGGGAAGGAGGGAAGGAGGGAGGAGGGAAGGAGGGAGGGAAAGGAGGGAAGGAGGGAGGGAAGGAGCAAAGGAGGGAGGGAAGGAGGGAAGGAGGGAGGGAGGGAAGAGGAGGAGGAGGAGGAGGGAGGGAGTGAGGGACGGGGAGGGAGGAGGGAGGGAAGGAGGGAAGAGGGAGGGAGGAGCGAAGGAGGGATGGGAAGGCTGGAAGGGAGGAGGAGGGAGGGGGGGAGGGAAGGAGGCGAGGAGGAGGAAGGAGGAAGGAGGAGGGAAGGAGGGAGGGAGGGAAGGAGGGAGGGAAGGAGGGAAGGAGGGAGGGAGGGAGGGAAGGAGGGAGGGAAGGAGCGAAGGAGGGAGGGAAGGAGGGAAGGAGGGAGGGAGGGAAGGAGGGAGGGAGGGAGGGAGGGAGGGAGGGAGGGAAGGAGGGAAGGAGGAGGCAGATGCTGGCAAGGTGGGCCGCAGACCATGTGCCTGGACAGAATCTGCCCTAAACCCCAGTGGGACTCTATTTGGAAGCAGGCTGATGAGGGCAGGCACCGTGGCAGGCACGGTTGTGCAGCGGTTAGGGCCTGGGCCTGGGCCTTGGAGGCTGGGGAGGAAGCGGACAAGCCCGGGCCTCAGTCAAGCAGAGCAGCTAAGCCGGCGGAGGGAGGAGCTCTAGTCGGGGTGAGTTAAAGGGAGAAGCACTGGGCTGAGTGTGTAGTTGGACTAATGGGTGGAGGGAAGGTTTCTCTGAGGGAATGAGCTGATTTACTCACAGCTGGAGGACAGGGAGGGGGAGGGGAGGAGGGGGAGGGGGAGGGGATGAGGGGGAGGGCAGGGGATGAGGGGGGAGGGGATTAGGGGGAGGGGAGGGTATGAGAGGGGCAAGGAATGGGGGAGGGGAGGGGAGGGGGAGGGGGAGGGGATGAGGGGGGAGGGGATGAGGGGGAGGGGATGATGAGGAGGGGAGGGGATGAGGGGGGAGGGGATGAGGGGGCGGGGATGGGATGAGGGGGGAGGGGATGAGGGGGAGGGGATGAGGGGGGAGGGGAGGGGATGAGGGGGAGGGGAAAGGATAAGGGGGGGAGGGGGGCGAGGGTGGCGCTTTCAGGCAGAAGGAAAATGAGTGTGTGGAGGCCTGAAGCAGAGGAAACCCACCAGGTAGCAATGCTGGCTGTTTGGGCTGTGGAATCATGGGAACTTTTCATCTTCTTTTGTTTGAATTTTATACATTTTCCACAAACATCTATTATTTTACTCATCAGGGAGGGAAAACAGCATCGTTGGTACACAAAATAGTAAAGGATGTGGGGAGAACGGGTGTCAGGGGGCACACTCCAGAGGGATCTGACATAAGCATGAGCGATTCGGGGGGGGGGGGGGGGCGCTCAGCACGCAGGTGGGCACCGTGCCACGCAGGGGAGCCAGCTGGGCTGCACGGGAGCCTGTGCCTTCAGCGGGGAGCGGAGAGCGGCCTCCCCGTGTGGTTAGCCGCCCGCCGCCTGCCCCACTGGAAGGGAAGCGGGTTTGGGACAGTCCCTGAGGGAGGCCAGCCGGGACAGAGCTGGGTGGGCGGGTGGCAGGACGCAGGAAGCGCTTGGAAAACAAGCCTGATCAGGCTCTGCCACCCACTGCCCAGCAGAGGAGCGCCCTGCCACCCACGCCGCACTGGCCAGGCCCTCCCGGGACTGGAAGCCCTGGGGCTGGGCTGGGAGTGAGAAAGTGGGTGGAAGTCGGCTCTCCTCTCCCTCCACCCCGACCAGCCCCCTGGGGCTCCCCCTCCTCCCTGGGGCTCCCCCTCCTCCCGGGTCACTGATTGCTCCCCCTGATCCCCTCCTCCGCCCGGGGGCTGAATGAGTGCGGCTCCCGGCCTGGCCCTTACCTGTTCCCACAGGAAAAGGCAAATCATGAAAAACTCTCCAGTGGAGTCTGTGCCGAATGCAGGACAGTCAGTGGCCGGGGGTGGCCTGGGCTGCTTGCTGGGAGAATGGGGGCAGCCCAGCCCGGAGGGATTCCTTTGCTGCTTGGAGGCATCTGGTTCTTTTAAACGCAGCTTCAGGCCAGGAGATCTGGGTTCCCGTCACAGCTGAGCTCCTGCTGGCAGGTCCTGTGCAGCCACCTGCCCTCGAGGCCGCAGGGTCGTCAACTGAGAAATGGCCCCAGAGCTGCTGTGGGATCCGACGGCTGACGGCTGACGTGTGAGACGTGCTGGGCTTCGGGAGGTCTTCCTGCCGGTGTCTGCCGTGGGCCCGGCACTGAGCCTCGTCCCGGCCGGTCCCTGCGCCCAGGAAGCCCCTCGGGGATGTGCCCGCTGACGGTCGGATCGGGCGGCCGCTGGAAGAAGCAAATGGAGAGAGTGGCAGGTGCATTTCCAAGAAGCAGTGCCCCTCCCACACTCTCGGTTGGGTGACTGACACCCCAGGGTGGGGTCCTGTTCCGTCCCGTGAATTGGGTGGCGCTGTGCCCGGCGGGGATTGTGGAACAGAACGCAGATCACAAGAAAGCGGCCGCGGCTCAGTCCCAGCCCTGCAGAGCCGCCCGATCTAGACCAGGCGAGGGACCCAGGCAGCAGCGCCCTGCCCGACCGGAAGCAGCCTGCAGACAGCGCCAGCCCGTTCTGAGTCTCGCAGCCGCCACCCTGGGCAGCGAGCCCACTGGCTCCATCCAAATTCCTGACCCACAGAAGCCGGCTCAGAGCGGAAGGCGTTTCCTGCCCTCAGTCTTGGGGGATCCCTGAGGCAGCATCAGGCAACCTGGACACAGAGTAGCTTGAGCACAAGCAGGACTGAGCAGCCTCAGGGACGCGGACAGTGCCTGGAGGAGGGAGGGCTGGTCGGAAAGGACTGGCAGGAGGTGTGGGAGCGGCGCCCCGAAACCCTCCAAGGCACCAGACCTCCCGACAGACAGACCAGCAACAGCACCTCAGCCTTTTCTCCACACTCACCCCCCCACCCCCCACCCCCGCTGCTTCCCGCCTCTTCTGCTCTCGTGTGAGGTCCACGGCACAGAACAGGCCTTCCCATGCGCCTCGCCTGTGCGTGACTCCTGGTCCCTCCTCTCGCACCACCGGCCCCTGGGCGACCACTGCGGGCGGCGCCTCCCCTTGGCACCGGCGAGCTGCTCTCCTCTCCCTCCCGAACCCCCGCCAGTTATGTGCCAACACGGCGCTTCCTCGCCACCTCAAATCCACACGCCCAACAGCGACCCACTGAACGGAGGCGCCGGCACGCAGCTGCCCTCGTCCCTGGAGAATTGCCCTGGACCCGTGGGAGCTAAGCCGTCCCGACGCACACTCTGGGCAGACCTCCACCAATGCCCGCCTGGTGCGGGCTGCAGACACTGCCTCTGCCTGTGGCGCCGAGCGCTCCACCCGCATTCCCACATCCTGGCCTGGCTTCTCCCCTTTGCCATCCTGCTGGCCGCACGCCTTCTCCGCCACCATCAACCCCAGAAACAACTCCCGGGTGACCTGGCTTCAGACACTGCCCAGGTGCTTGCGCCCCACCCCGTCCTGGTCCTGCCTCGCTCCACGCCCCAGTCACACCTGCACCTTCCCTTCAGGGCAGCCGCCCCACTCACACCTGCACCTTCCCTTCAGGGCAGCCGCCCCACTCACACCTGCACCTTCCCTTCAGGGCAGCCGCCCCACTCACACCTGCACCTTCCCTTCAGGGCAGCCGTCAAAGGCCTCTCATTTATCTCCACCTCCTGGCGCCAAGCCCCACACCAGCACTGCACTGTCTCTGCTCCACGGCCCAGCGGCCAGGGCCAGCTCAGATGTTCCTAAGGCCTCTGTGGGTGTAGCTCCCAACCCAACGCGCAATGCCTCCTGTTTCTCATATGAATATGTTCATTTCAGAGGGGAAGGGAGAGGGAGAGAGAGAAACACCAGTGATGACAGAGAATCATGGATCTGCTGCCTCCTGCACGCCCCTACTGGGGATCCAGCTCACACCCCAGCGACCAGAATCAAACCATGACCTCCTGGTCCATAGGTCGTCGCTCAACCACATCATCTTCCATAACCTTTCACTCAGTGCTGAGGGGGAGGCCAAACTTCCCTTTTGGGAAAAATGCTAAAGCAGGTGGGTTTATTTTCCTATCTCTTTTCTACAACCTGGGAAGGGACATTTGTCACGCGGACTCCAGATAACTAGGGAAAGTGAGAGATGGCGGTGAGGAGGAGAGAATGGAGACTCAGGGATCTCCAGCTGCCACTGCCTCCTCTGGGACAGCCCTGGGGTTACAGAGACATGCAGTCCTGATGGGCTGTCAGTTCCGGTGCCCGCTCTCCCCCTGGCCCCACGGGACCGAGGCTGGTTAGTCTCTGTTGAGGGAGGGTGATGGACATGAGAGGGAGGGTGGTGGACATGAGAGGGAGGGTGATGGACATGAGAGGGAGGGTGGTGGACATGAGAGGGAGGGTGATGGACATGAGTGAGAGGGAGGGTGATGGACATGAGTGAGAGGGAGGGTGATGGACATGAGAGGGAGGGTGGTGGACATGAGAGGGAGGGTGGTGGACATGAGTGGGAGGGTGATGGACATGAGTGAGAGGGAGGGTGATGGACATGAGAGGGAGGGTGGTGGACATGAGAGGGAGGGTGGTGGACATGAGTGGGAGGGTGATGGACATGAGTGAGAGGGAGGGTGATGGACATGAGAGGGAGGGTGGTGGACATGAGTGGGAGGGAGGGTGATGGACATGAGTGAGAGGGAGGGTGATGGACATGAGTGGGAGGGAGGGTGGTGGACATGAGTGGGAGGGAGGGTGATGGACATGAGTGAGAGGGAGGGTGATGGACATGAGAGGGAGGGTGGTGGACATGAGTGGGAGGGTGATGGACATGAGAGGGAGGGAGGGTGGTGGACATGAGTGGGAGGGAGGGTGGTGGACATAAGTGGGAGGGTGATGGACATGAGAGGGAGGGTGGTGGACATGAGTGAGAGGGAGGGTGATGGACATGAGAGGGAGGGTGGTGGACATAAGTGGGAGGGTGATGGACATGAGAGGGAGGGAGGGTGGTGGACATGAGTGGGAGGGAGGGTGGTGGACATGAGAGGGAGGGAGGGTGGTGGACATGAGAGGGAGGGAGGGTGGTGGACATGAGTGAGAGGGAGGGTGATGGACATGAGAGGGAGGGTGGTGGACATGAGTGGGAGGGTGATGGACATGAGAGGGAGGGAGGGTGGTGGACATGAGTGGGAGGGAGGGTGGTGGACATGAGAGGGAGGGAGGGTGGTGGACATGAGTGGGAGGGAGGGTGATGGACATGAGTGGGAGGGAGGGTGATGGACATGAGAGGGAGGGTGGTGGACATGAGTGAGAGGGAGGGTGATGGACATGAGAGGGAGGGTGGTGGACATAAGTGGGAGGGTGATGGACATGAGAGGGAGGGAGGGTGGTGGACATGAGAGGGAGGGAGGGTGGTGGACATGAGAGGGAGGGTGGTGGACATAAGTGGGAGGGTGATGGACATGAGAGGGAGGGTGGTGGACATAAGTGGGAGGGTGGTGGACATGAGTGGGAGGGTGATGGACATGAGAGGGAGGGTGGTGGACATAAGTGGGAGGGTGGTGGACATAAGTGGGAGGGTGATGGACATGAGAGGGAGGGTGGTGGACATAAGTGGGAGGGTGGTGGACATGAGTGGGAGGGAGGGTGGTGGACATGAGTGGGAGGGAGGGTGGTGGACATGAGTGGGAGGGAGGGTGGTGGACATGAGTGGGAGGGAGGGAAAACTAGCTGTCACTCATTCACTTCAGCAGGTAGCAAGAGTAAGACTTGTTCTTGCCACCAAATGCCCTGGGTCCTTGGTGCCTTGTTGCCTGAGCCCGGTTCTCTAGCCTTCCTTACATTCTGGGAGTAACCAATGTCCTCCCAACAGCCCACTTTTCTGTTTAAATTACATTTCTGTTTAAATGAGTTCCTGTGGTTTGAAACCAAAGAAATCCAAATCCTAAGAAGGAAGGTAGAGGCCTTAGAAATATTATTTAAATATATTTGTATTGATTTCAGAGAAGGGAGAGGGAGAGAGAGAGAAATGGAAACATCGATGATGAGAATCATTGATTGGCTGCCTCCTGCACACCTCACACTGGGGATCAAGCTCACAACCTGGGCAGGTGCCCTAAACCGGAATCGAACCCAGGACCCTTCAGCTCGCAGGCTGATGCTCTATCCACTGAGCCAAACCAGCCAGGGCAGATTTAGAACCATTTAAGGAAGCGGAGGCAGAGTGCACAGAGCTTAGACCAGGGGTGGGCAAACTTTTTGACTCGAGGGCCACAATGGGTTCTTAAACTGGACCGGAGGGCCGGAACAAAAGCATGGATGGAGTGTTTGTGTGAACTAATATAAATTCAAAGTAAACATCATTACATAAAAGGGTACGGTCTTTTTTTTTTTTTTAGTTTTATTCATTTCAAACGGGCTGGATCCGGCCCGCGGGCCGTAGTTTGCCCACGGCTGGCTTAGAAAGACACTCACAGATCCCTGCTGGCAGGTAAGTGACTGCAGCACAGGCAGCCTGTGGGCAGGCCGCTGGGGTGCTCAGGCTGCGCTGCAGGCTGTGGAGGGGGAGCCGGCTGAGCCCCAGCGTCAGCAGGGATGCTCACCGCAGGGTTGTTAGAGGCAACACAAACCTTTTGCACCTGGAGTTTCTGTTTCTAGAATCACCATGAAATGCATGGGAGTCTTGGGTTTCTTCTTGTCTGTCTGTTTGGTATGCTGACCATTTGGGTGGAGGACCAAAGAGAAAACACTAATGCCTCTTAGTGGGCATTCATCGGAGAGGGGAGACCGGAGGCTGCCGTGTCAACGCCCAGGAATAGCTCCGGGCCGCGCCTTACCTTCTGGAGAGCATGAGCTCACAACGCTCTCATTAAAAGCCACCAGCACGGGGTGGGCGGGGACGGGGACGGGGGGGGGGGGGGGGGGGGGTGTTAAGAGATCAACCGAAGGACTTGTATGCATGTATATAAACATAACCAATGGGCACAAGACACTGGGGAGTGGGATAGGCCGGGGGAATGTCAAGGGGGGGTGGGGGGGAAGGAGGCATATGTAATACTCTTTGTAATACTTTAAGCAATAAAACAAAATTTAAAAAATAAAAATATGTGTATATTTCTGCTTGCTTTGCTGGGCCTCTGATACTGCCATGAGAAGAATTTTCCCAGACTAAGGCACTGGTCCCAGGAAGATGAAAGACACAAGAAGCAGAGCTGTCCTGCTTACAGCACATTCACCCACCTGAGCCACAGACATGAACAAAACAGTCAAGATCCACAGGACCTCCCAGCCCGGCCACTAGACAGAAGATGACCCCTAGTCAAGCCTACAGACATATGGGCGATAATAATGAATAGTTCTTATTTGAAACTACTATGTTTCAGAATAAATAGATAGAGAACAGTACCCAGTCATCATGAATTCCCTCTAAAACATGAGAGTTATTGTCATTATGTTGAATAGCACTTCTGTAAAAATTATAGATAATATTTCACTTGTAACTATGATACGACTACCAGTGGGAATACACTCCTCTGCTTTCTTTACTGGCGGGATCTCTCAGTTGTACATACAGAAGAGCATATCCAGGCGGTACTAAAATAAATGTAATTACATACCATTCCGCGGGGAATTGGGAGTGCTGGCCTTTATTTAACCTGCACAGCCTTGGCAGAGCTGTGCGAACTTATGCAGAGTATTTGTGGCATTATTCACAGAGAGGTTCCCACTAATCAGTCTAATTACTAAACCTTATTGATGCCTGCTCTTCCTGGGTCTGCCTTTAGAGAGAATGTAATGTCGCCGAAGAGAGCAAGTGTAAATTGACTTTTCTAAAAAATATGGTAACTATGAAGACTCAATGCCATTTTGGAGTCTTCTTAACTAGGAATGTTTAGATGCCGGGAAG